TGGTAAGGGGCCTTGAGAGTTCTCATTGCTCACTTCAACTGTGTCTGTGAGACATTTGGAGCCTAAATATCTTATTTGGTGGTGAAAAAAGGCAGTTCACAGATTGTGCAATTTTTAATTCATTCATTTATTCAACATACATAAATCAGTAACCTACTTTGTGCTGGTCACTGTGTTAGGTGACAAAAATATGTATGGCCCTGGCTGGTTTGGCTTACTGGTTAGAGCGTTGGCCCATGGACTGAAGGGTCTCAGGTTCGATTCCCATCAAGGGCAGGTACCTCGGTTACAGGCTCCATCCCCAGCCTCGGTCAGAGTGCATGTGGGAGGCAACCAATCCATGTGTCACATCAGTGTTTTACTCTCTCTCTCTCTCTCCCTTCCACTATCTCTGAAAAGCAATGGAAAAAATATCCTTGGGTGAGGATTAAAATAATACATATGTACAAACAATAGCTACCTCTAGGAGAGTACACTAAACCAAAGGTATCAAGTGGTGAAATTAAACTGCATAGGTGCCTGTGAGATCTCAATAGAGTGACAGTTAGCTGAGCTTGGGAGAATCTTGGAAGCATCATTGACAAGGTAACACTTGAACTGAACCTTGAAGAACATGTAGGATTTATTCAGACAGACAAAGAGAAGAAGGCAGATGGCAGAGAAACAAATGAGTTAGTACTCTGTGGCAGGAGCCATATGAAAATTAACAAATGACAGATCCAGAATGGGAGGAAGAAAATAATTTTAAGCAGCTTTAATGATCATACAAATCACCTGAACAATCTTGATAAAATACAGGTTCTGACTCAATGGGCCTGAGGTGGAGCACTTCTAATAAACTCCATCAGTGACAGAGTTGCTGGTCCACAAGCTACACTGAGTAGCTTAGAGATCTGTTTGGATGTGATAGGAGAGGAAGGTGGAAAGTCCAAATTAACACAGATTTTTGGATAGGATGATCTGCAGTGATGGTGTCAAGGCCTGCTAGAAGAAATGTAAGAGGAGATTTTCAGGGAAATATAAATGTTGTTTTTGTGTTGCTGTTTGTTTTAGTTACCCCTAAGATATCTAGGAAGAAATATCTACCTGGTAGGCCCTTAGATAGAAGGTGAAAATAAAACCATGGTACAAAATGAGAAGGGCTACAAAGAAAGTGAAAGGATGATTAGAAGAAAATGATGAGATCACTTCTACAGAAAAAGTTTCAAGAAGGTGGGGAATGACCAGTGTCAAATGTTGCAGAGACATCAGGTAGGAGCAAGACCAGAATCCAGATTGCAAGGAGTTGAGGATTAGAAAGTGGGTGTTTTGATTAGAGATAATTCCAGAGGGTTGACTGAAAGGTGTCAAGGAGAGTGCAGTAGTGGAGTGAATGGAAAGAAATGCAGAGTGAAGGGAGGAATTCTTCCTTCCACCCTCACTTTTCTTTTTCCTTCTCTTCTTCCTCCTTCTTCCCTCCTTCCTTTCGTTTTAGAATTGTTATAGAAATTTTCCCAAATACAAACAGGTTGAGAGGATGTTATAATGAATTTCCATGTATCTATCATACCACTTTTACAATTTTGTACATTTCTGCCAACTAAGGATGGTTTTTTAAGATGCAGCTGACTTAGACATATTTGTACACTCAGGAAAAAGAGCCAAGACAGAGGGAGCAGTTGAAATTTTAGAAGAGAAAAATGATAACTGGTAGAGCAATATTTTTGAGGAGGCAGTGATAGAATATAGTACAAGTGGAGATCCTGACTCCAGATAGTGACAAAGACAGTTTGTCTATGGAATTGAGACAAAAAGAGTTAAAAATCACAGTCCCTCAGAAATCTGGTTAAAATTTCAATTCCCAGCCCCACTGCACTCCATATCCCTTCAGGCTGCTTCAATTCCTTCCTTGAAGCTATTCACAATTTTTTTCAAAAATCTATGCCACTCTAACATTTCATTAATTCAGTCATTTTATTGAAGATCCTGTGTCAATGAAGAGTGGTCACATTACAGAGAACAATCACTTACCATCCTCCATCTTCAGAGTAGCCTCTTTTATCTCTCCAAAGCAAAAGAGAAAGTGTCCCCTTTATCCTACAAATAAAATTCCCTTCCTAAGAAATCCCGGGGAAGAAATTGTTCTTCATCGCTTAACATGGAGATTAAGTTTTTGGTATCAAGTCAGGAAATGAGCAAATTCATGCCTGATAAAAATTAATTTCTCTGTGAAATATAAAGAGAATTCTTTTGGAAAGGGTTCATTTGGCTGGAATTGTGTGGGAAGAAACTTTATAAGTGTAGCAAGGGTTTGGAATATTGACAAAGCCTTCTTTTTATCTTTACCTAAAGTGATGTCATGCGTTCTAATAAAAGAGGAAAACAGCAAAATGCCCCCCCCCCC